AAACCACCCCCCCCCCGCACACACACACACACACACACACACACACACACACACACACACACACGAGAGATAGACAGACAGACAGACAGACAGACAGACAGACAGACAGACAGAGACACAGAATGAGAGACATAGAGAGAGCCCTGAAGGTAGGTAAGCAGGCTCACTTACAAGGACTGGGATGCAAAATTCATAATTTGGCCAGCACCAAGGCTCCACGTGCAGCTCACTTGCTCAACGAAGTGTTTCTGGGAGCACAGCTCATCAATGTAGTTCAGGACTCCTGCATCTGAGTAGAAGTCATCTCCTTCCTGCTCCGGCCCACTGTTCTCCTTTTTCTCCTTTTCTGTGGGCACTCCTGTGAATGACTGTGGAAGCCTGTCCCTCCAGTCCATAATATCCATGTACTCCTGCACATCTTCAGGTAGAATTTCCATGGGTGCCTCAGTCTTTCATAATTGTGTGTGTCTGAGTACTGGGAGGCAGGCAGGGTCTGTCTTGGGACCAGTCTTCATGGAGTTGCATGCTAGGAGAGAGGAGAACATGATGATACATAGATAGGGTTCAGTTCCACCCTATCCATGCCATGTAGACCATAGTTCAGAGGAACCACAATGGCCTAGGGTAAGACAAACCTAAAGATCTGTGAGAGGGGGCATTGCAAAGGGTTTATATGTCTAGGACAGTCCTGTGGGAGAGCATTTGGAGCCAACAATATTTCAGGTACTCTCCAAACTCAGTGGGCTGGTCCTGATCATATGGTTGCCAGCTCAGTGATTACCAAGTTCAAGACTAAGGGCTGCAAGGGTCCCCAGGCTACATAGAAAATGCCCTAACCTGAAGGAAGAAGCCTATGTTCAGCGCAAAAATCCATTTGACTGATTTGACCTCTGCATAGAGACCTAAATTTATGTGATTACTACCTGGTTCCTCAAACACCTCAGAAGATGGGGGCCTTGGAGGATCTTGCCTTGTGCTTGTAAGAACTTGGCACTGGATACTTCTCATCATCTCCAGCCTTGAATTCTCCATCTCTTCTGCCTTCTCAAATTTTCTATACCTAAGGAGGAGGGAGGCCAGGGCCCAGCCAAGAGATTACGGAATATGATCACAGGTGCAGGTTCTTGGGATGATCTGGTACAGTCCCATGAAGTTGCTGATTTTGGAACATAGCCACAGCTCTGGGGCACATTATATTCCCTTGGTATTTGTGGAAATCAAATCAGCTTGAGGTGGCCCCAGAAGGACTTTCATGTGACTCTTCCTTAAGGCCTATCTTATCCTTGCCTAAAGCCACAAAGAAACTCTTACTGGTAATATGGCCACAGATATGATTGATGGAGTACATCAGGGATCTTGAACCAGATACAAAAATGCTGAAGCTGAGGCTGGGAGACCTGGAATGACCTGGGAGACAAGTGCCCAGGAGATGCTAGGAGAAAGTAGAAGGGAAACTGAGAGGTGTTGCTTCTTCCCTCTGAGAGCTTTTTGTGGGCTTTTGTGCATGAAAACATCACACGGAAAAAAGACAGAAAGACCAGAGACATATCCTCAGATGTGTAAGAAGCTTCCTTCCCCTCTGCATGCTTCTGTTCATAACCATGCCAGGTATATAAGGATACAACTGAGGCCACCCTATTGGGATGCTGTAGTCTCTACTGTCAAAAAGCAGTGACTCAGTACCAGCTAGTTGACTTAAGACTTGTGTAGCATGTTTGTATTTTACAATCCTCAGTGCTGGAGGAGACCCGGCAGGGCTGGAATGGGTCAGTTTTCCCACTCTGACCTTCAAAAGAAAGGCAGTGATATATTCATGGCCAATGAGGGCAGAGCTTCTGGGACTCTGGGGCAGATAGCCCAGCACTTCAGGAGGTGAAAACAGCAACCTGGACCTCATAGATTACCACCAGGTGACCAAGTATTGGGTAATCTTCCTTGAAATGTGTGGGTGACAACTCACCAGACTAAGCTCCAAATGAGTAGTACACCCAATATATACCCTCCTCCAGAATCCTGATTCAACAGGCCCACCCATGATTGACAGCTCTCCACATACCCTGCTTCAAAATTTTATTGACTCACTTTTCAGCCATCTCAAAGAAAATCATCCGGTCATAGTTGCATGTACACTGCCATTCCTGCAGACCCCTCCACAGGCCCTCCTCCACATTCATGGTAGGATTCCTCTGAGCCAGGGACCGAAGCACTGGACTGTAATTCATTAGAAGCACTCAATCCAATAATTTGGACCCAGTAGACTCATCCCAAGATGCATCTATAAACTTGAGTCAGAATAAAGTCAGCTACTAGGAACTCCTAGTCATGCAACTCACATCAACGCAAAGATCTATGTCTGTTTTCCAGCCTGCCATGTGAGTCTCCTTCTATCACTGTGTGTGGAAGAATGCATGGGGCTTAGGTTCCCAACATGGAATTGGGGGTGACAAAATCAAAGTCAAAGTCATTAGAAATGAGGCCTTGGTTGTTAACCAAGCTTAGGATATGATTTGGGGCTCTCAGGATGGGATAGTGCTCTTATTGAAAGAGAGAAGAGGCCTCCCCAAGTTTTCTTTTAGTCCTGTGAGACAGCCATGGAGACTTCAAGAACTGGCTTTTCAAGGTCTTGTCTGTGTCTCCAGTGTCCAGAACTCTGAGATAACAGGGCCTGTGGCTTCAGTCTTCTAGTCTACCTGGTGATATGACTGAGCTGACTGGCAAAAATGCACAGAATGACCTGAAACCTAGGGTCAATGACTGGGGCAATGGTGCAAATCACTGCTGAGGATAAACATGGAGCAAAGAGACCAAAAGTTTCCGCATGGAATGTCTAGAGCCTTTCTGGCTTAAGAGAAATTCCTTAGATGGTGGGGTGAGGGACAAATGTACAGGTCTTTCTGGAATCCGGCACTCTTGCCCATCCTGGTTGTGAAATGCTGTGGGCTCTAAACACTAAGGTCAATGCTAGAAGATAAAATGCTAAGGCAAAGAACTACCAAATGGAGTATAAGCCCTAAATCCAAACCCAAGCTTTATGGGACTCTAGGATCCCCCGTGTGACACCTCTATTTCTCAGAGTGTGACTCTCTGGGTTGGTTCTGTCACCTTCAGCACCTTCCTTGGCCACCTCACACTCATCATGTTGGAGCCCAGTAGGACATTCCAGTCACAGGTGACACTCACACGAGGAAGCAGGAGAAAGATGACACGTCTGGAGTCTGGGACAGGTGCTGCCGGACCAGATTTTTGATATACTGCCATTGCCGGATATTCCCATAAACACTGTCTGGTTTGGACAAGCAGTTTTCTGGGGAGTTGGTTTGAACATTGGCTAGACAACTCTCTCCAACTGCTCCTTTTTTAAGGTGATGCTGAGTTCACTTGGGACCTGACAGGAATCAGCTGGACAACTGGCTTTGTGGTTGGAGGGTGAGATCCCAGGACCCACAATCCTTCTTGGGCCTGGATGTCCAAAGCAATTTGATCATTTATGAAGGTATTTGCAGCAGGTGCTGTCATGAAGAGGGAAGCAGGGCAACCCATACCCCCACCCTCTGTCACAGAGACATTAAAATTGAGGGACTCCTCTGTGAGGACAATGTTGGCATTGGGCATGGGCTGTACAGTCCTGCCCGGTGTCCCCACTTGCATAATATTCAGAGGTACAGCTATATCCATAGTTGAACTTCCATCTTCAGCCACCAAAGACATCCCAGGCAAGGCAGATAACACTAGAGTATTCCAGGGAGAGATGCCTCCAGTCAGTAGGGGTGCTGGGGCCTCCCAGAATAATTGGATTGTTGGCTGGGGGGCATTTGGGAGAACAGGCAGGGTAGCAAATGTAAACATGGAGGCACTGAGGTTGACAGTCATGTTCTGTCCCAATGCAGATGCTGGAAAGATAAAGAGAAACAAGAGGGCAGCTCTCTGGTCCTGGTAGTAAGTGGTAATTTGTGGAGGGTCATGAGGAAGAGGAGATTGTACTGTTTGCAGATGTCCCCTAGGGAATTCCCTGATGATTTCATCTGGCTGAGCATTGTTCCAGCAGTGTTCTTCCTCTCCATTAGCCAACATTCCCTGATTGCTACTGTGCAGAGGAGCCCTCAGCTTTCCCACACCTGAGAGACTCTTTTGGGAATCTCTGGATGAAAACTCATCAGCATTCTAGCTCTCTCGATAGAGATGGATCAGTGTGACTCTGTCTGGACCACTATGACAGTAATGATGCCTGCAGAAGTCAAGGCACCATCAATGAGGGCCAGTTTCCAGAAGGGCCTCTGTAAAGGTGGCAGGTTTCAAATATTTTGACCTCAATCCCTTCTGAGTGTTCCTTTCACACTCTCAAACTCCCTCCCTTTCTAGCCCAGCACGGCAAACCAAAACCACCTCTGTGCTACCCGCGGTCATCCCAGGTGCAAAGGACCACTTTAAAAGAAAGACCTCTGCCCACTTACGATCTCTTTCCAGCCCTCTCTTTCCTGCTGTCTTTCTGCTCTCTGATTCCTGATCTCTCTGTCTCTCCCCCCTCTCTCTTTCTCCTTCTCACTGTCTTTCCCACTATTCCCTTGTGGCATACAGGACTTTACCTGTCTCCCTCTTCTCTTATGTCCTTTCTGCGTCTCTGTGTCTGTGTCTCTTTACCTCTTTTCTCCCACCCCATTTTCTAATAAAACTTCTGACTAAGCTCTGTCTGCCTAGTGTGTTTGTCGCTCCACCTCTGTCACACTCAACTGCCAAGGAATCTGCAAAGGTTCTCCTCAAGCTTTATCAAAACAAGTAGGGGGAAAAGTTGAGAGCAATAACCCATTTCTTTGTTACTGGACGTTTCCTATCTGCTCTGCTTCTGAACACATCAACTACCTGGTGATAGAGAAACCTTCCTCCATGGGAAGGCATGAGCGACTCTGGGCTGTCAGTGGATAGAGTAACCTCCATCCCCACAGAGAGGACCCCACAGGGCTGTTTCCTGCCTGGCCATTTCTCGGCACTGTCCTTCTAAGGTCTAGTGTGGCCCAGTTAAATTTCTGAGATGCATAATTTCATAGCACAAGTTCCACTGACTTGGAGAAATGACCCAGAGCTCAACTGTTGCCCATGAACCTTCCCTAGGACACCACAGTGAACCATTCCACCACATCTGTAAACTGTGACTAATAGACCTGCCTGCCACACAGGAAGAGCCAGTCTAGGGCCTGTCATTGTATCTTCGGATCAAGTCTGCTTCCTTGTGTCAACTTAGTTCCACCATTGCTCTGTTCATTCTGCCATAAGCTGTTTCAGCTTCCAAGGAGAGATGTCCTTACAGAAGTTCAGTGCTGTTTCCTACCCACACCCTTTGCCCAGTAAGTCATTGCTAGTAACAGATTTAAACTGCCAGTGGCAGGGACTCAGGAGCCACACACTGATACTCCAGGCTTACCTTCTGAAGTTATTCCTACAGGCTTGGACAGTAACCACACCTGTCTGCTAGGATCCATGTTGATCAATCTCAGAGGAATCACTCCAAGATCACCAATATGTGCCAGAGGCTCAAGAGCTCCAGCCACAGCTTTGAAAAGTTTGAAAGTAAACTGCTCCAGAATGTGGCATTGAGAATTCTACAGTGGGGGAGGGTCAGAGAGTAAAACAGGGCTGGGGACATTCCGTGAGGGGTTGTGGCATGTGCATGAGAACCTTGGGGTCAGTTCAAATGAAGCATTCTTGTTGGAGGTGATTGCACATACATGGTATTTGCCTCTAGGCACATTTTAATGGTTTCTTAGAGTCTCAATACACTGGGGTCACAGGTGCCCTCTTCCTTCATTTTGTCTTTAGTAGACCTTATTTTATTCCTCCATCCTGAGTCGCATCACTCTTAGAGAGGGTAGGCTCCTGAGTATTTTTACAGTGTTTACACTTACTCAACCAATTATATATTCAGACAAATATAGAGGATCTAAGCAACAGAGCCAGACATATTTGTAATTATGATCTTGGGAGATCCTTGGATCATCCTGCCATGTACAAATCATTCTTTATGAAGCAGTTCTTGTGTGTCTAGCCAGGGCAGTGGTGGAATGTCTGCACCCTGGTCTCAGTCACCCTTTTGCTATACTCCCCAGCCCATTAAGGCTTTGTTCTGCATAAGTAGCCCATGGGACTCAAAATTGAAAAAAAAAAAACTTCTCTTTGCATCGGAAGTATTGATTCCTTTTATTGCAAACAGATATTTGACAATTAAAAATCTTTTCTCCATCACAAAATATAATGTGGCAGCTTATGTGACAAATTATCACTCCTAAACTCATCAATGAGAACAGGGTTAAATGAGAGGGACAGGAAGAGAGAAAACATCCTTCTACTTCAAGACACAGAGGCTCAGGGACCCCATTTTCCAGGCAGAGAAACCCATTTCCTGTGTACATTTTGACAAAGCCAGGGTTCCTTTTGCCATTGTCCAATACTGATTTCTGTGTGTGCATGTGCCCACCTCATTCCTATCACCAATATGATCCTGGATTCACTAGCTGTATGCTTCCATTTTAGATTTTATGTGCTGGTGTCCTTGCAAACATGCTTCCTTGTTGCATCTCTGACTTAATATAATTGTTAATGTTTGTATGCTAAAGCAAAATTATCCACAACAAAAAATATTTGCATTTGTATGACCATAGCACAGACTGGAGATGACATTGCAATGCCTGTTGGGTAAAATGCCCAAATGTTCTACACTGTGGTAAGCTGTTTGCATCTTCCATATTGTGAGTTTTTGACACTAATTGAGAAGACAACAAGTGGAGCCTTCTAGTAGCATGAAATGTTTGATATTCTATCGTAAAAAGAACTTTGCATTAGATAATTTTGCTGCATTGTAGGATAGTGTCTTTTCTGAACACGAATAAGGTGGGTCAGGCTAGGTACAATGCTTCAAGGTTTGGTAAATTAAATATGCATTTGATTTGTGATATTTTCTGATGATGATACAACATTGTAACTGGAAGGGCAGGTGTCATTCAGTGTGGGGGCATGGTTGTAGCACCCCTTTAAAGAAAGGTGGTCTGGTTCCTAAGTTAACATTGCGTCTCATCTCGTGACAGGAAGGGTTGCTAGGAAATGATTGAGGAGGAAGGTGGACTGAGAATCCAGAGAGCTGCCACAGAAATTGCTGAGTGGAAGCCTTACCTCCTTGGTAGGAGACAGTAGTGTTCCTCCTTTGGCAGGGGTTTGGCCCAAGAAGAGAGGTTCAGAGGGACCCAGAGTATCAAGTCTCAATTAAAGTTAGGATGACACCGATTTCATAAGAAACGTTTGTGAACTGACTTTTATTATCAGAGCTCTCCTTGTGAAAAAGATTTTAACCTAGTTGGTGTTGTAGGAAGGACCTAGATGCAGAGTCTAGGTAAATCTTGTCTCAGAGTGTCTCCTGGTTTAGATTTTTTTTTAATTTTGTCTACCAGTGTTCCTTATGGGAGCTTTGAGAAAGTATAGCAGACGACATGCTACTATTTTTGAACAGTGCAAAGGAGACAAATGTCATCTGAAGTACTAAACCTCTTTAACAGCTTAGGGTAAGGATGCTAAATGCATGGATGGAAGGCCTGTAATCCCTGCTTTTAAGGTTTCCATGTTCTGTGAGGAGGCCAGGCAGGTGGTGGGCAGCGCTCCAAAAGAATTATTTTCCTCTCCTGCAAGCTCTATGCTTCACCTCAGTACTCCTGTTTGCACATGCTATTGGAGTTCCAGTGCAAGCTCCTCCAGCCTCCCTCTGCTACCTGCATCTGTTCCTTATGAGCTCTCTCTGACACAAGTGCTCAGTACAGCACGGGCTCGCTGGCGCAAGCATGGAGGATACTAGAGAAGCACACTTCTCAACTTTTGGCGAATATGGTAGTGTCCAGGATCCGTTACATAAAATAGGTAATGGGAAGTCGAGCCTAAATTCCTGGACATTCAGTCACCACTGTTTCTGGCCCTTGACAGTATTTCTTGGTATTTTGCAGGCAGTGTGACCCTCCCGAGGCTGGCCTGAACACTGGGAGTTTTTATATCACTGGCATTGGCAAGTGCCCAGACCAGGGATTCTTAACATCATTCTGTAGGCTGTCTGGTTTTTGACCTGTGTGTTGGGGGTGGATGGGCAGAGATAATAAATGAAGTCTGAACTTTGAAAGTGTACCTCAGCTGTGCCTCCTACATTCTCAGGAAGCTTCCTAAGTGTTGGAAATCATTGCTCAGTTTAGCAAACAAATTTCTCATGTTGTTGAAAAATGGGCAACTTTTGACATGTAAGCATAGATATCAGCCATACATATAACCTTCATGTTGTAGTGTTGTAGTTCTTTTAGTTGCTATTGATGTCTGTGACTTTTCACATTTGAATAACTGGCCTTTAAAAGTCAGCATTTTATCTCCATTTGGACCTTAAGTGTGGCAATAAAAATAATAAAAAACCATTCTGTGAAAATCAGATCAGAAAAAGGAATTAAAACAAAGACTATTTTATTATTAAATTGTGTTCAACAATTATGTAACTGTGTGTGTGTGTTTGTGTGTGTGTGTGTGTGTGTGTGTGTGTGTGTGTGTGTGTGTGTGTGTTTTTGTGTAGAGCTTTATTGCATGTAGACAATGTGAGATAACCTTGGATTCTGGATTAGGTATCTGTAATTTGAGTTTCCAAATATTTTATTTCTTTTTTCCCCTTGAAAGTTGAGATAGTTTTGGTTGTCATTGAGTTTGGAAGAAACATGTTCACTTTGGGCAAGAAATAAGTGAATGTGGACAATGTTAAGAAATTGTGCGTATGTATGTGGCAATACAAAAGGGAGAATATTATTGAAAAAATGTAGGGATATTTGTATATTTTGAATGTCATGGATGGTTATAGGATTTGTCTACTGTGTTTTTAGTATGTGAAGGCAAGTGTGTGACCAGATTTTTATAGGGGGATGGGGAATGTAGAATGTAGTATGTTTTGTACACTTGTAGTGCCAGCTCCATGTGGTTCTATATTTGGCAGAGGGAGGATTTATTTCTTTGTGGATATTCAAAGGATGTCATCACATTTATGCAAGTGTTGAGACTGCACATTTGTGGGCAGATGTATTTGCACTTTTGTATTGTTATATTATGTTTGATGTAGGTGGAGAAATGTATGAGAAAGGAGTTTACATTTTCTTGTATGACTTATGAATGTTTATATTTTTTATATATGTCCAGATTTTTGTTTGGAGATTGTTTAGGCAACAAAATGTTTAGTAGAGTGACATGGCAGTTTGGATGAAGGTTTTCTGATGTTGTATACATGGAAAATAGGGATGAATTAGTATACATAAAGCAAATAAAGAAGGAAGTGTTTATCTGATGGGTACGTGAGAGTGTACCTTACATAGGCAAGTTTGTGTATTTATCTATCGGTGAGATATGTATATTTGTTCATTGAAAAAGAGGTCATTTGTTATAAGCATTAATTATTTTGCATTGCTGTTATAAAACTTCATGACCAATGCAACTTATACAATCAAGGGTTTATTTGGGATTACAGTTCTACAGTGGTCCGATCGATCATGGAGGGAGGGAAGCATGGAGGGTGTGTCAGCAGCAACAGGAGAAGGCTGAGCAGTAACATCTTGAACCACAATCACCATTCGTAGAGACTGAACTGGAAATGGCACAGAGGATATAAACTCTCAATGTCTACTCCAGTGACGTACTTCCTGCAACAAAGATGTACCTCCTAAATCTCACCAAACAGTGCCACCAACTAGGGGCCAATGGTTCAAACATCTGAGCCTGTATGGAACATTCTCATTCAGATCACAAGTGTATAAATATACACTGGTTTATACATTGGCTTGGTTAATGATGGTTTTTCTGTCATGGCTTGGCATGTCTCAGCCCCAAACCATAGAAGCCAAGAGGTCCGGCCTGAGTTGGGGAATGTGGACTTGGGAACTCTTAGTAAGCCAATGGCAATAAAGACCAAACATAGGCATCTTGCCATCTTTAGAGAGTTCACAGTTCCATGCTGCATAACTGGAGTCTCTTCTTTATTTAGCACCTTCCTGACTGTGATCTAACCATGCTTCCCTGACCACAAGGCCATTGCTCACTCCTCTGGCAGACCCCTCTGCCCACTACCTCCTAACTCTATCTGTCCTCACTTGTCATGCACACCTAGCCCTAGTCAAATGCTTAGTTCCCTAGAGATGTAAACTAGGAGGATTCTCCACTGAGGCTATGCCATTCAATAGCAGATTAGCTAGCATATGCAATACAATTGTAGGCCTGAGCTCTAGCTTTGTGCAACTGGAGGTTCAGACCTCCAGAAATTCCCTAATGGAATTTTCCTGGCTCCTGACAGTTTCTAGTGCTCATAGGTATTTTTGGAGGATGGACTCAGAGTTTTGTGTTTTATAGGTAAAGAATATTGAATACTATGTTACAGTAGTATTCATCCAGGTACTGAAAATATTTTTTGTTTATGTGCATGGGAGTTGTA